GGGACTGGAGCATCTCCCCTATGAGGAAAGGCTGAGAGAGTTGGGCTTGTTCAGCCTGAAGAAGAGAAGACTGAGAGGGGACCTCATCAACACATACAAATATCTTAAGGGTGGAAGTCACAAGGATGGAGCCAGACTCTTTGCAGTGGTGCCCAGCGACAGGACAAGGGGCAATGGGTGCAAACTGAAACATAAGAGGTTTCAGTTGAATATGCGGAAAAAATTCTTTCCTTCGAGGGTGACAGAGCACTGGAACAGGCTGCCTAGGGGGGTTGTGGAGTCTCCTTCCCTGGAGATATTCAAAGCCCACCTGGATGATGTCCTGTGACACCTGCTCTAGGAGAACCTGCTTTAACAGGGGGTTGGACTAGATGATCTCCTGAGGTCCCTTCCAACCCTTGCCATTCTGTGATTCTGTGATTATTCTTTTAACTCTCTTTTAATAAATTAAAATACACTCTTCTAAGAGTGAAATGATAAAGACTCCTCCCTGTGGAACCAGAGCATAAAAGTTTATCATCTCGGGATATTTCTGATCTGTTCGTTTGGTTGGTTGTTTTTATATTGTGTTTTAGAAATCATAGTAATTAAAATTATGGGCATGATGTATCAAAATCAATAAAAGACATTGTAGAAATGTAGTACTGGTATGGACCTCACCAGGTTATCTAATCCATTTTTGTATCTGAGGAGGGCTCTAATGGTCCTACAATGTTCATCACAGTTGTTTTTCTATATTGTTTTTAATCAACTTCTGTGAAAGTTTTTTCTTAGCTAGCTGCTCCATCATTTATCTTACTGTATAATTAAGAATTTTTTCTTGGTTTTATCAGGTTTTCCTCTCCCTCACTAACTCAAATGCTTGTTGCCCAGTCTTTTCAGTCCAAAAAATCTCACCATGTTCTTGACTGTATCCTTCCATCTATTTAAAGATTGCTAGCCAGTCCTCTCCTCACCATCTACTTACTAACTAAAGAAAGCCGGTTCTTCCAAGTCTTCCTCAGAACATACATTTTGTAAATGTACCATTTTTATCTTTTTTTCCTGGACTTTCTTTCTGTCTTAAACCACCATGTCTGAAATGAGGCAGAGTATTCAGCGCTGCTAAATAGAGCAGAATAATTATCTCCTGTGAGGTGCACATAACACTCCTGTTAATCCTTTGCAGAATTAAATTTGTCTTGTTTTGCTCTTTTACGTCACCACGTTCATGCGTGATCCCTAGTTTGTGATTCAATGTAACTATATCTTCTCTTTTGCAAGATCCTCCTGTGTCCAGCTGGCAGATTTCTGGCAAGTCATTTATTAGCAGGTTGTAAGATGTCCCTAGAGTAGGGATCTCATTGTGACCACAGCATCCATAAGTGTGGGAAAAGAAACATCCCTTAGCAGATTTGCTGGAAAGCATTTTTTACCTAGTATTGGATTTTTTCTGGGATACCTGTCTCAGCAAGCAGAAGTTTCCCTCTCTTCCTTTCCTTTATAGTTAAGTCAGTTGCTTAATACTGGCACTGTATTTTTAATGGAATACTTACACTTGCTTCTTTTTGTCAACCTTTCTTGTAACCCTCTATTCCTATTGCAATGAAGGCTCTAGAAATTCAAGGGGGCACTTTATCAAACCAGTTGATGGTAAAACATCAGCTCAATATTCATCAGCAGTCGAAAGGCTACTACAGCATCAGCAGTGACTAGTAGCAGGCTTGTTGCTGTTGTGGTTGTCTGGAGACACCAACACAGTTTGCTTTGCTACATCACTGCCCTAATGCTGCCCACAACCCTGGTCACCCTATCATAAAAGGGTTTATGAACTAGAAAGGTACAGAGAAAAGCAACTAGGATAAAAATTAGACTGTACAAACAGACATACAGCCACAGTATGATCAAAGGTGCAGCTGATGCAGCACCTTCTGGGAGTGGCCGACAGTGGAGGACAAGAGGTGGGGATGAGAGCAGTCTGTGTGGGATCTTGCATTAAACCTTCCCAGGCAAGTTATGAGATCAATGAGTAAGGAAAATCTACTCTTTGAGGATGGATTAAACAAATTGTCTCACTTGAAAAGAGACAGCTGAATGGGGATATGATACAGAAATGTAAGTCGCAAATGGTATTGAAAAAGTGCATGGAGAACAGTAATATATTTTGTGTAACAAATGAGAAGATTTCTAACAAACTTTTCAGGAATCTAGATTTAAAACAGTCTAAATGTAATCCTTTTTTGCCTGGCACTTAAGTAAACTGTAATTAGGCAGTTTACTTGCATAACTAGGCTTATGCATAAGTTTAAGATAACTAGGAAACTACTCATCAAAGGTTGGTGCAGCTGCCCAAAAGATGAAGGGATCAAAGACATTAGAGGTAATGGGAGAAAAATCTATTGGGGTTTTAAAGGACAAAAACTTACTCAGAGCTGTTTCTCAGGAAAACTGCTGGCAGGTGAGAGGGTTTTCTGTTCTGCCGTGTCACTCATAGTGTTCACAAATGAGCCTTGCCAAAGAAAGCTGAGCCCCAGCTGACATGGCACAGCTATTTTTGGAATCCCCATGTCTCAGTTTCTATAACCTCTACAGTGATGACCAGCCTGTGTATTTTTAAGGACAGACTGTACACACATGCTGCATGGGTCACAGCTGGAGAAGGTGATCCATGTTGCTCCCACACAGCTCCTTACAAGCATCTACCAGCTGCTCTAGCTACCAGCAGTGGCTGAGCTGTGGCTTGCTATGGCCTTCAAGTAAGGAACAGGTTGTAATGGCTCTCCTAGGAGCAGAACTGGGCTTAAAATATGATACTGAGAATGAGTATCTACTACCTGGCTTCTTTCTCATGCTTTGGTGTTGATTTTATGTACGTCACTGATAAATGGTGCCCTGTTTTTTATGCTGGCATGGCCCTGCTGGGAGAGGGAGACACCCTACAGGTTGTTTGGGAGATGGTAAGCAAAAGGATGTTTTCCATAGCCTCTTTACTCTTTTACTCATCTGTGGATAAGTTCCAGCTATGCTCCTTAAGTTTTTGAGTTTTTAGTTACTATCTGGTGATGAAAACTCAGATGAAGGGCTACATCAAAAGTGTACCAGCCCCTTACAGTGAGATAAACATTGCTATCAAGTATCAATCAGCAAGATCATAATCTGACCCTAGCATTGGGCTTGTGTTAAAGAACCATTGGCTTTTGTTTCTTGTCCACTAATGTGCTGAGCATTTGCATTACTAAAGGTACATAAGCTTCCACACCTGGAGATTAAATTGTTTATATTGAGGATTGACACTACAAACTTAGCAACCAGGTTACAGGCACAAAACTCTGAGCTACTCAGACACTAACAACACAGAGGGCCAGGCTTAGTGCCACTGCTGTGGAAAGGCTAGCAACCATTAAGAACAGGCAAATATTCACCCTGAGTTACCCTTCTGTGACCATCGCAACTTGCAGCATGAAAATGCATTGAGAGAAATGGCAGAAAAATCTGTGTCTATGACATTGTGGTGAACGTGTACTCATTTTTATCTGGGAGCAAAACTAAAGCTTTTATCTTCTTTCCTCAATTTCTCACAATCTTGTGGGGTTTTTTTTCTTGCGGAATTATTCTTCTATGAAGATCATGGAGAGGAAAAAATGACCACTGAAAACCTATCTGCCTTTGCTTAGCTTTTTAACCTGTTTTTGCCTGCCTGCTCTTCCAGGAGACTACTACAATGACAGATCCTTCAGTGGTGGATCACCTGACACGACTGAAGATCAAACTCCTGGAAAAGGTAAGGGAATAATTCTGCAGTGGTCACCTTTGCTCTGCTTTTTGATCTTGCATGTTTAAGCATTAAGATTGTGTTTTAAATAATTATATTTCTACTGAGATACAAAGAGGATGTGCAGCCAATTAAGAACATCTTTCTTCATGCAGGCAGAGGCAGGCCAATGTGCAGTAGTGCTACAGTCACTGTCACTTTCTTAAATAACATTGTACATTACATGGCCCTACAGTAAATTAAAAATAGAGTTAAAGTGACTTTGATCATATGGGAGATGTCACCAGTTAGCTCAAAACCAGTTTAAGTTATGACAGACAAAGTTTAGGAGTAAATCTCAGATTGTTTTAAGGCAAGTTCATGTCTTCTTTTTTGTCTACTTTCACATAAGATATGTTGCCTGGTAAAACATGAGCGGGCCTTCAGTAGAAGCACATGAAGCACAGAATTCCAGTAGCTCTTTGTTGTGACTCTGCACACTAATGCACCCAGGGTTCTCCACTCAGTCCTGTCTCTCTACCCACAGCACATCTGACATCCAGTAGTGTGGATCTTCTGCTTCAGTGTCCTCCAGAAGCCACTGAAAGAGTTGTCTAGAAGGAAAAACAATTTGCCTGGAGATGTCAATGCTGGAAGTGGCATCAAACCTGTCTCCACAGTGGAGTCTTTTGTCTTAGATGCAGCAGCCATTTGAGGGCAAAGCTTTCACAAGTGTGGAGCTAGGCAGAACCAAGAAAAGAGCCTGTGCATGAGCAAAAGGTTTCTAGTTTCTGAGCATCAGGGAGCAACAAGAGCCAGCTGCTCCCTAAGGAGCAAGGAGTTGAACACAGTAACACAGCCAGCAGAGCAGGGGCCTGGCCAGCAAGCCGAGCCCCCAAGTGAGGCAAGTAGGGCAGAGCCAGAGATGGTGGTCAGGTTTAACCAAAATTCCAGATCTATCAGGCAAGCTCATGGTGATGAGGCAGGCCCAAGGCCAACCTGGGAAGTGTCTGCAGGTTGGGATCAGGGTTAATAGGATCCATGGTGAGTCACAGGCATGGCTGTGGTTGAACTGCAGACCAATACTCATCCAGTATAGCTCAGGTAGGAACTGAAGACCTAGAGTTGAGATTAAAGGGACTCCTGGGCCCATGAGCAATGGGTGTGGATGGAAGCCCCAGCTGAGGCTGGTCAGGGCCATTTAGGCCTATTAATGCACTGAATACCCAAAACTGGCATCAAGTTCTTCATGTGATCCAGCTCTCTGCCCTACAAAATAAATGATGTATAAGTCTCCTGATTCATCATGCTATCAGTTTCCAGGTCTGGGATAGCCTGGCCAGTTTGAAGCAGGACTATTTTTTTTACCATAACTAGATCTGTAGTGAGACATTTCATATTTCTAAGACTACTTCTTTCAGCCCTCACTAGCTGTGATTTAGCAGTTAAGAAGCACCCCTTGTTTTCACTTCTATATTTCCTCCATTCCAAACCTATGCCTGTAAGGTAGGATTAGAAATTGTTGTGAGCTTTGCTGCTTGACTCATAACCGGTTGTTTTTGTGGTTCTACCAACAGAGACTAGAAAATGAACAGGAGAACCTAGAGAAGATGGAGTCACCTCTCCCAGCTGCAAGTACAAGAGAAAGACTTGTTCTAATTGTGGACATAATATGGAAAGAGCTTAGTGATGTTCTCAGGCATGAGTTCCTCAGCAGGTCACACCAGATGATCGTATCTCCTCCCTAGAAGTTGTATGCTAGTGGTTGGGCCTTTGGGTAGTCAGAATTTGCTCTGTCTTGGCTTCTGTGACAGGGATGTTGTCTGGAGGGCAGGAGGGAGACTCTGAACTTGAGTCAGTGCTGCCCCAGCTCAGCCTGCATATCTCAATCTGTATGCAGCCCTAGGGTTTGGAAGTATCAAAATGCAAGTTCCAGTGAAGCCTGTACAGTAATGTCAGTCTGTATACTAGTCTCAATCCTAACCAAGCTTGTGAACCTTAGCGGCCTTGATGCAAGAAGAAGGGGCTTGCTATACTGTGCAGCTATCTATATTTTATCTTTTTAATTTCTCCAACATTTTTTTTTTGACAAAGGGAAATGACCAACCAGCTGAGCACTGACATAAGAATGACCTCCTGCCCAGGTGTCCTCTGCAGCTTCTCAGCTGTGGATGCTGGTTCAACTATAGCAAACTACTGATGATCCTCCTACACCTCAGAGTGGGCCCCTATTGCTGTCCAGTTTGGCTTTGGTGATTCTGAAAAGGAGTCGTTAGGATGTCTGTGTGTCTCTGGCAGGAGACAGGCAGGAGGAACACGCCACTACTAATACTGCTTTTCACCTTTGAAGCTGACAAATGCAGCCTTGTGCAGACCATAACATGATTTCTAGTGTGAAAAAAAATGTGACTCAGCTTATGAAACAAATCATTATACTGAAAGAGTTGTCTTGCATTGATTGCATTGATAAGAGCTGGGAAACCATTTTACCAGGAAATAATACATGTGCAATTACATCCTGACTTCGGGCAGAGAGGTCAGAAATCCCAGCATGGTTACAAAACTTGCAAAGTTCAGACAGTTCTCTGTAAGAGCCAGAAACCCAGCTAAAAGTTGATAAATAAGGGAGTTTAAAATAACTTCTGTCTTTTTCAAACCCTTTTAAAGACTGCTATGATGTTTCACATACAAGTAGTGTGTTCCCTTCAACAATAGTCCCATGGAAGCTATGCATGCTATGTGCAGTGCGTTCATTTCTTTGCATGGCACATGCAGTGTTTATAATTAGTAATATTTCTAGATTGTACCTGGACTCATATTCACTGAGCTGATGAACAAAGAGTTGGAAACTTTCAATGCTATGGCCAAAAATTAAAAATCCCTTTAACAGGATTTCAAAATACGAGGTGATGCTTTTCAGAACAGATGCCAGGCATGCCTCCAATGTACCTGAAAATGTTCTTTCTTATTTTCATTTAAAGTGAGTTCAAAATCAGCTGTATGTGGGAAGAACAAAAAAGGATTCAGAACAAAAAGGAAATACAGAAAAGTTGACATTTTTTATACTTTATATAAACTTTTTTTATACTTTGCACAATCATCCTCTGCATATACAGAGTATAGCTAGAAAATTTCAGGCTGAAATGAGTTCCTAAGACAGGAGGCTGAAAGGGGGCTTTATAAAAGCAATCTTAAAAGTTTATTTTCAGAGAAAGTGCATTGCCTTTGTAGAGCTGCTGAACAGCTGTGTCTGCATGTGGCATAAAGTCATTATCCGTTCATGGATTTGAAAAGAAAAGTAGCCTAAAGCCTTTTGTGGAAGAAGTCAAGCTATCTTACAACATGTTTTCCAGAATTAATCTCATAATGTAGGTGCTGCAATAGCTCTGTCTTTGTGACCTTTTGATAAGATAATGGACTTTTCTTCCTTTAGGGAACAGATGTGAGGATATGCTCCAAAGTGCCCTAAGGCGAAGGAAAGACCTCCTGCAGGAGCTTAGGGTAAGAGCACTCTCTGTGGACAGAAACAACAGAAAGGGCCAGATTATCTGCACATCCACTGCAGATGTGGATTCAGTTCTTTCCTGTCCTTTAGTTCTTCTGCTGGGCAGTATTCAGTCCTCTGCTGGTTTAGAGTATAGAGGCTGGGCCAGCTAATCAGGGAGAGGAGCAGTATGTCTTCCCTCACTACAGCTAATGAAGCTTGCACCCACTTCAGTTAGTTGGTGGTTTGATTCTGTTTGTGCTGAACTGCTGTATCATAAGCTTTCTGGGATAGTGCCAAAATGCAAATAGGGGATTTCTAATGCCACCAAAATAGGGACAATAGTAACTGTTACTTACTCCTAGTTCATGGAGGGTACCAACTGGTCATTAATGAAATGTTTTACCAGACTTTTGGCAGTTTGTTCTTTGGTTTTTTTCCATTCCTTTTTGCTTGTGCTGAAAACTGTATGGCATGGCTTAGAGATATGTGGGAAGAAAAACTTTCTTTATACCGGAGCGGGCACTGGTTGAGTGCTTCTCTTCATGTAGCGGTCACTTGTGGTCTGCCTGTCAGATGCAGCAGCGCTGGAAATTTCTGCAGCAGTGTTTTGGTGAGCAAGGCTGCATCCTGCTGCCAGCTCCCAAGGGCTAATCCCATTTAGTCCAGAGACTGTAACAACACTGTCTTTAAGAGCCAGCAAACCAGCTAGCTGGATTTCTTTAAGAAGATACTTGATTTTGCAGGAGCAGCACCTTCTGGAGGAGCTTTCACAGTCCCCTGCACCAGCTGGAGGACGCTGTCATAACCGCAGAGCTGCCCCCCTGCATGTCTATCAGATACCTTTTCCAGCTCACGAAGTGGAGCCACCAAGGATTATCCAGCAGACAGTAAGGATTCTCTCTCCTAGGAAACAGTGCTAGCGCTGTGCCTATCTGAGACAAAAAACACAGGTGGAGGGACTTGGGGTCTGTACAGAAACGCTCATCCCACCGAAAGGGAAGATACTATTGTATAGAACCCTTACTGCCCTACGCAAAATCTAAAGGAAATCATCTTGCAAATGAGGCATAAAATTAACAGTGTGAATGGTGTACCATAGAAACGAGGTAGCAAGAGGAGTGGGAGGATTGCCCACGCTCTGGCCTGGCCATTCAGCCAGTTGCCAACGAACATCACTGTCTGCTCATACAGCCCACAACCTCAACAGCTCCTCCATGAGGATCTCATGGGAAAAAATGTCCAAAGCCTTACTGAAGTCCAGGTAGGTGATACCCATTGCTCTGCCCTCCCAAAAATGAGGGAGCAGGCCAAAACTGACCCCGACTTCTCCGTTTTCCTTTCTTCCCAGATGCCACCTCAGCCTGCCACCATCATCCAGCAGTTACCTCAGCTACACCCCCTGATCACACAGATCCCTGCTGCCCAACCTCTTGCAGCTCCTCACTCCGGAAGCATTAAAGAAGGTAATGTACCCTCCATCTAGCAGCCAGCTAGGAGAGAGCAGGCAAGGTGCCACGGCAAGTGGAAGGGAGCACAGGACAGCATCCAAGCTAGTTAGTGATGCGCTGTTTCACGACTGGGCTGCTGCTGGAGCTGTGGGAATTGCACTCCGTAAAGGGACTAGATACCACTTCTGAGAGGCTTTCAGACAAACTCTTGTTGCTAAAACTGAAGAAAAAGGAACTACAAACTCAGCAAGCCAGGTTAAGCTGTTGGGGAAACTTGGGAAAGCAAAACAGCTTAACCCAAGGCACTGAGTAATATTAACAGGGTCAAACTCATGCACATAAATGATTACAAAATTAACAAAGAGGCTTCTAAAATCTGTTTTTATTCTTTTGTTCCCTCAACCTGCTGTTCAATCTCCTCAGAATAATACAGGCTTTTATTATGTCCTGTGTTTGGAAACAAGACAGAACAGCTGAAAGTGCTGTTCCAAATATAGTGCAATGCCAATAAAGGGTTTGTTTCTAAACATAGGTGGATGCTACTGTGAAATAACACATGAGCAAAAACCTGAGATGACTTCCCTAGCTCAACCTTCAGTCAAAGGTTTCTTCATCCCACAGAGAAATCTTCAGTCATGGAATTGCTATATTTCTCAGCTTTTTCTTCATCTAAGTATCTGGATTTTTTAATCAGAATTTATATTCATAAACAAGATAGTCCCAATTCATGCATGACTTTTCTGAAGCTGATGCATGTAAACTAGTTTTGGTATGACCAGTCAAAAAAAAAGGAGAGTTGCCTTGATTTTCTTTTTCCTCTTCCCTCTC